AGGATATTGGGGATGATACCATTTACTTAAGTGACATTTTTCAACGACTGCTTGCACGACTGATGAATATCATGTAACACGACTACGACTGTACCCGGTGTATTTTTCATCGATGCGCCACATGCGCGGCTAGACACCGGCTAGGTCCGAGTTACATTTTGCGATTATGGAAATATCTTGCGAACATAAAAGCGTGCGAACATAAAACCTTGCCGGCAGTGTCGCACTTGCGTCTCCTGCGAAGCACAATTCTCAACATCGATCTCTCCTTAACGAAAATTTCATTATCTCGCATTATCTCTGCTGCGCAGTTTTTGTTTGTGCACTTTTTGTTGTGCGTTAAGTGAGACTTTACATTACTAAGAACCAATCGAGAGTTTTACTTGTTTTGTTGAAACTGAATTGACTTAGAAACAAAATTGTGTTATTCGTTCATAATATTCCCTTCATTTTCGCGATCTTAAGTGGCTCGGACACAGGAAGAAAACCAAGGAGAAAGGGCGCGTTATTGTTCAATTTGCTCCAATTTGCTTCAATCGCTCACCTTCTGACCGCGTAAGAACGCATTAAAATATTTATCGACGGCCACGCGAGAAGCTGTGTTCCTTTTCGAAATTACTTTCCAAGAAGCTTATAAATATTTTATGATTATCGTGTGTCGAAGCGGCTCGATCTTTACATGCATAATTTACATGCATAAATATAATTGTGTGATGCCATTTGCGAACAGCCATTTTGCCGAATTAATTACTCACCGACGCGCAGGCAAATGAATCACGCGTCGTTCAAACTGCGCAATTTCCAAAATCCACCATTCCCTCTCCCGTAGCTAAAGAAGAAAAAGAAGAAAAGAAAGAAAGAAGAGAGAAAAAAGTCCCATCGACGGGAAAAATCCGTCCGGTTAAAATTTCATAGCGTTTCAAAACTACGCGTTCAATCGGTGATTGTGCCTGATATGCCGATTATTATTAGTGTGCGTTTCGTATGCGTATGAGAGAAGCGAGAAAAGTACTCTCTCTTCTTGCGAACAAAGAAGAAGAATTTATACCTTCTCTTTCTCAAATTTTACAAAAATTTGACTCCTTTGAACGCGAAGGAACGCGAAGGAATATCCTACATTTATCAGAGGATGCGATACATCGTCGCATTGCCGTCGCATCGTCGTCGACGTTGGGGAAATCGACGGCACGATAAGCGACTACATGCGATGATGCATGTGCAAAGCGCACATTCGCGTGCTCGCAGTTTTACGCGATGGGCGGCGGCAGATCGCGCGACATGCAAAGCGAGCGTACTCGCGCTCTCGCGCGGAGTAATTCCGCGCGATAACATTATGAATAATGCAGCGGCAGGATTTGAAGACCGACGGAAATGTACGTAACGATTACGTACATTCCGACGCCCGACGTCGCCCGACGTTTTCCCGACCGTTCCGGAAAATCCGCGTGCCATACGCTCGTAAGCACCGTCGTTCCGCTGATCTATATTCGCACATTTTCCGCCGACGAATACGCCAAAACGCGCGAATCCGTGGAATTCACGAGGCGCGCCACGCGCGGTTAGCGTTTTTTATTCCGCGGAAATTAATAAGCGGAATTAATAAGATGCTTCTTGTACAATGGTAACGAGGCTGCAGGCTTATCGCGGATATTATATATGCCGCGTGAGCTAACGCCTGGTAATTTTTCAAAAACCGAACGCACCGGAGTGCTCGCTATTAAATATCAACGAAACAACAAACGAATCCGCCGTCTGTGTTCCGCGTTCTTCCCCGCTCCCGCCTCGTCCCTCTCCCCTCCTCTCTCTCTCTCTCTCTCTCTCTCTCTCTCTCTCTCTCTCTTCTGTTTTCTCTCTTTTTTCTTTTCTCTTGTGTTTTTTCTCTCTTCTTTCCTTTCTTTTCTCTCTTTCTCATCGCAACGTGAAATATTCATTGTATATCATTCTGGCCGCGAGTTATGCTGAATCATACTTTACTTTGTGCTAGTATTTGCGTATTTGTCCCTTATGTTTGTACCTATCTATCTATCTATCTATATATCGCTGTAAGGTAATAAAATGTGCGCGTAACGAGCGAGAGATATCATACACAATAGAGATAAAGGATCGTCAACATATCGCGACGAGCCAATATCCTACGTACGAATACGAGTGCCACACATGTGCCTGACAATTAATTGGCAGATTACGGGACGTAGGGAGGAGTTTTGAGGAGGGAGGAGGACACGTAATAAGAGGCACAAGTCGCCAAAAAAGGGAGGAAACTGATGTTTCCCTCCAAGATTCGGGAGGTCCAAGAAGATTGTTACGCGAGGACTCGAGGAGGATTTAAGGACTCGACAGCATTAAGATTCATGGATCCGAGAAATTAAAGCTGTGAAAATTCGATGAAGCGGAAGGTGTAACAGAGTGTAATAATATGTGAATGCAGAAAATTGAGAGCGGAAGAGTTCGAGGATCTGAGAACTCCGGATTATAAAGATTTCAAAAACCCGAGAGGAGTCGAGAATGTAAGAATTTAACTCGATAATTTAAGAGGCCGAGAGTTGCACCGCGATAGGGTACTCGCCCTACCTTGGTGGAGAACCTTGCAGAGAGAACGCAAGCTCTGCAGCGTCTTGAAAACGACTTGGGTGAACTCGATCGAGCGCTCCTCTCTCTCTCTCTCTCTCTCTCTCTCTCTCTCTCTCTCTCTCTTTCTCTCAGTCTGGTCTGGGACTTTATAGACAAAAATTCCTAAAATATCTTAAATTTTTCAGTTTTTCCCTTTTGTTTTTCCTTTCCTCTCCTTTCCAATTCCTTCTCCTTCCTCTCTTCCTTTTTTTTTTACAAACGTCGTTACTCAATATCGAATTTGTTTAGATTCTAGGTTTATAATCTCATGAATTCTATTATATCACAATCGTAAGAAATACTTTAGATTGTCGAGATTCTTGAATACCGCCGTACTTAAATTTTCTTTACAAAAAAAGGATATATATATATATATATATATATATATATGCATGTGCATCCAATCTGTAGGTATCAAATTATTTAAATTCTAAATTTCCTAATCGCGTGTTTTTCTCAGATTCCGAGATTCTCGTGCGCATCATCGTAGGTTCTCTGTCGCTAAAAAGACGGATTTTAAATGAAATATAATTCTATAATTCAAGGGATCAAAGATCAAAATTACTTTGGATTCGAGAAAGCTAAAACTTAAAATATATCCGGCAACAGAGGAAACTGAAAGTTAATTCATCTAAAATCGAACAAGCCACAGCTCGAAGAACAAAGAAATCGGCGACAACTTGAGACTTAGAAATTCGAGAGACTCTAGAACTTGGAGAACATAATCAACGAGACAAAACGCAAAAATATCTATATGTATATAGCGCATAGTTAAATAATTAAAATTAACGGCCTATTTAACCGCATAAACAAACATGAGCTCGGCTATACGATGAGTAATTCAGACTAATTCAGCGACAAGAGCGTTTAACCGCCAACCATGCCGCCCGATATGATTGCACCCTGTCCAGATTGATATCACGGAAATAAGTTACACGGGAAAATATTCTCGTTGTCGTGACAAATTGTGAATCAAATTATTATTCTTCCCGGGCGAGATTATAGACCCATTATAGACCGAGCTCGTCATAGACGTGCTTATCGACGACATCACAATCACTTGAACAGGTTTTACATCAAACTGTTTATTAGATTCGACGCACATTTTTTTGCATTCATTGAAATACTTATGATCATCTATCCGGTTATGCCCAACATTACGAATTACGAGAAAAATAATTATACAATATGCTTGAGATACAACCCCTTCCGTCGGTCACAAGTTCAGTCCCTCATTCTCGGATACTACCTATACTGGCATTACTGAGATATTAGAAGGTAGTCGAGCAAAGTACGCAAGGGGATAAATACGATATCATAAAGGTCATCACGATATATCCATTCATAGAAGCGGCCATCTATATAGAGAGACATGGCTGCCGGTTGACTTGATAAATAATTGCTTATATCTTATGTCGAACTACTCGTCGGGTCACCATCTTTCTCTGCTGATCGAAACGAGTGCATTCAGCTCCCCGGGCCGACAAACATGGTCGCTTGGTAAAGAATTCAGGCCGATTGGGCCGAATAGTTCATCAACTTTTACAGGCCATTTCCACTCAATCGTAAATCCCAGCTACCAATATACTCAGCTATCTATCCGAACAAGCGGTAACACAAGATACAGATAGGCATGCAGACAGACAGGCAAGCAGGCAATTAGGCAGGCAGGCAGGCAAGCAGGCAGGCAGACAGGCAAGCAGACAGGCAAGCAGGCAGGCAGGCAGGCAGATAGGCAGGCAAGCAGGCAGGCAGACAGACAGGCAAGCAGGCAGGTAGGCAGGCAGGTAGGCAGGTAGGCAGGCAGGCAGATAGGCAGGCAGGCAGGCAGGCAGATAGGCAGGCAGGCAGGCAGGCAGACAGACAGACAGGCAAGCAGGCAGGTAGGCAGGCAGGCAGGTAGGCAGGTAGGCAAGCAGACAGGCAAGCAGGCAGGCAGGCAGGCAAGCAGGCAGGCAGGCAGGCAGGCAGGCAGGCAGGCAGGCAGGCAGGCAGGCAGGCAGGCAGGCAGGCAGGCAGCAGGCAGGCAGGCAGGCAGGCAGGCAGGCAGGCAGGCAGGCAGGCAGGCAGGCAGGCAGGCAGGCAGGCAGGCAGGCAGGCAGGCAGGCAGGCAGGCAGGCAGGCAGGCAGGCAGGCAGGCAGGCAGGCAGGCAGGCAGGCAGGCAGGCAGGCAGGCAGGCAGGCAGGGCAGGCAGGCAGGCAGGCAGGCAGGCAGGCAGGCAGGCAGGCAGGCAGGCAGGCAGGCAGGGCAGGCAGGCAGGCAGGCAGGCAGGCAGGCAGGCAGGCAGGCAGGCAGGCAGGCAGGCAGGCAGGCAGGCAGGCAGGCAGGCAGGCAGGCAGTCAAACAGGCAGGCAAGTAGACAGTAGGTAAGTAGACAGGCAGGCGTTACCTCGCTTGGACGTGGTGTCGGCTAAGCTGCTAATAAATCCAGGTACGGCAATCACGAGAACAAAGAGTCCACAGTGTAGCCAGAACATGTTTACGTCTTAACAACATTGTTTAATTCCATATTACATGACGCTCGTGAAACACTGCGATGGCGGCTGCTGCGATCCCAACGGGCTTTATAGGATTACTCATTACGCGCATAATCACCGACGTCTACCACCTCCTCGCTCATCAGATGCACGCGGAGCCGAGCGAATCGTGGAACGGAGCGGATTAAAGTGGATCAGAGCGATCCTCACGAGAGCCGGTCTTCCTGACGTTGGTATACCGTTATCGTACCGTTATCTGCGGGATGCGAGACGTACGCGCGCGCGCGCGTGCAAGGCTACTGATATATATACATATACATATATATATATATATATATATGTATATATGTATATATATATATATATATATATTTGACGAAAAAACGACAGAAAAACAGCGAAATAGACACGTCGCGCGAGCGAAGCGTAGCCGGTGAAACGAGTCACTCTTACTCTGCCCCTTTGCCTTTTTTCCTCTCCCTCTCTTTCTCCCTCTCTCTCTCTCTCGTCTCTCTCTTGTCTCTCTCTCTCTCTCTCTCTCTCGTCTGTTTCTCGTCTCTCCTTCTTCCAAATTCAGTCAGTCAGTCAATCAGTCAATCAGTCAGTCAGTCAGTCAGTCAGTCAGTCAGTCAGTCAGTCAGTCAGTCAGTCAGTCAGTCAGTCAGTCAGTCAGTCAGTCAGTCAGTCAGTCAGTCAGTCAGTCAGTCAGTCAGTCAGTCAGTCAGTCAGTCGTCAGTCAGTCAGTCAGTCAGTCAGTCAGTCAGTCAATCAGTCAGTCAGTCAGTCAGTCAGTCAGTCAGTCAGTCAGTCAGTCAGTCAGTCAGTCAGTCAGTCAGTCCATCAGTCAGTCAGTCAGTCAACCAGTCTTTTGTTGCTCGCCTCTCTCTCTCTCTCTCTCTCTCTCTCTCTCTCTCTCTCTCTCTCTCTCTCTCTCTCTCTCTCTCTCTCTGGCTCGCTCGCTCGCTCGCCTCTGTACGTCTATCTTCAAATCATCTTCCGCGGCTGTTTTCCTTCGAGGTTTCTGAGCCACGAACACGAGCGACGATAACAAGGAGAACCACGAAAGGAGAGCACACTTTGCAATGGCAGCTTCTTCTTCTTTTCCTTCTTCTTCTTCTTCTTCTTCTTCTTCTTCTTCTTTTCCTTCTTTCTCCTCCTTCTCCTCCTCCTCTTCCTCTTCCTCTTCCTTCTCCTCCTCCTCCTTCTGCTTCTTCTCTTTTTCTTTTTCTTCTTCTTCTTCTTCTTCTCTGCTTCTTCTTCCTTTTCTTCTTTTTCTTCTCTGCTTCTTCTTCTTTTTCTTCTCCTTCTTCTCTGCTTCTCCTTCTTCCCGAAGCAGATTGCGGCCTTACTCTCGCGCGCGCGCGGCTAGAAGAGAGAAACTGCCCGGACCGAATCACGCCTCGGCTGCCATCTTCTACCTACGCCGGGAGTCTGGAGTATGAAAATATTCTCCGCTCCCTCTCTCTACCCCCGCTGCCGCCCTCTCGACCCTCGCCATCTCCCTCCACCTACTATACCAACCCCACACGGGTCTCCGCTCGCTCGCTTGCTCGCTCGCTCACTCTGTACCAGCGTTCTTCCTCGCGCGCGCGCGCGCATCAGCGCACCCCCGCGCAGCGCGCACCAGCAGCTTGGACCACCTCTTATCGATTCCTGCGCCATTTCCCGTCATTCCTGTCAAATCAATAACGCGCGCCGGCCGCGCCGGCGGCTTCCTCGCAACGCCGCCGCGGGGATAGAAGCGGCATCGAGATGCGAAATCCCTCGGCTGGGGTAGCGCGGGTAGGGTGAGACCGAGGACGGAAAGAGGACGAATCCTGGACCAGGTGGCGGGAGCTGCTACGGGACACGAGCGGACTTGGAGATGGTATTCCTGCCGTTCGGATGATGCGCAACGAAGAATCGCGGAGAGTGCCGACGTGGATTCGGATAGAAAGTCTTCGGATGAAGGGTGAATACGATGAGAACGGTGGGTGGATATGGAGCGAACGCGGGGAGACTGAGAGGAGCAGGGAGTCCATCGGTCCATATCGGTGGGATTCAAAGCTGAAGGAAACGAAGGACTGAGGAGCTTACTCCAGGATCTAAATTGCGTGGATTCTAGATTTTGTATATAACTCCTGGCTGTCTTAGACCTCTTTGTGAAAGATCTGGAAGGTAGCGTATGCGCGTCAAAGAAGAAAAAAATAGAAAAGAATAAAGAAGAAAGAGAATGGAAAACGAGACATAAAAGAGAACGCTGCTTGCGTTTTTAGACTTTGCATTCTCTTGAAACAAGTCAAGAGAATGTGCTTCAAATAGTAATTGATATTTAGACGGGCGGATAATAAGAGAGGGGAAGAGAGAGAGAGAGAGAGAGAGAGAGAAATCTGATGATCTGACTAGCTCTGATGTACTAAACCAAGTTGCATGAATATATAATGTAAAATGTAAAAAGCAATCGACAATAAAAGAGGAATCGTGGTTGTCGAGATTTTATCTTCGATTTCGCTTGACAGGTGAAGAAGCTGCTGATCGATAACACGATCATTATAATGTCAATCGAACGAGTGAACTGTATACGAGACAATAGGCAGGTAGGAAGAGAAGGGAGAGGTAGATTAGATGAGACGATAGTTAGCATTGAGCGCGAGATATTGGAGATGATGGATCAGGTGAAAATTGTGGAAAAATAGAGGTATTATTGCAAAGTGGTAGTGCCATGTGAAGAGTGTTTGAGATTACTCTGAGTAAGAGGAGCTCTCTCTCTCTCTCTCTCTCTCTCCCCCCTCTCCCTCTCTCTCCCCCTCTCCCTCTCTCCCTCCCTCCCTCCCTCTCTTTCTCTCCCTCTCTCTCTCTCTCTCTCTCTCCCCCTCCCTCCCTCTCTCTCTCTCTCTCTTTTTCTTTCCTTCTCGTCTTGGATGTTGTTATCATCAAGTAACCGGAATGAAAAGAATTACGGAGCCGAACAGGATTCAAAAAATCCCTGAAACATGAAATAATCTATACAAGCGACTGCTGAATGATTTAGAATCTGCATCACTCAGAATCTAAGGAATCTGGATTCCGAGATAGATAGTTGCTTTACAACAAGAACGAGAGTTGGACTATTCACACCGTGATATATGTAGAAAGACCCGAGTGTCCAGAATATTCGAACGTTCCGGAAAAATTCTAGATCTTATCGCGTTCAAGCGTTCAGAGAATTGAAAATTGAACATAACATATCCATGATTGGTAGAATTTAAAAAACATGAAACCTCCCTAGTTTCGAAGTTCGGAAAACCTCGTGACCATCGATATTTGAGATTTGTTCAAATTTTTCTTGGAACTTAATTGTCGACGAACTTGTTTGCAATAAAAAAAATTTCTCTCTCTCTCTCTCTCTCTCTCTCTCTCTCTTGTATCGATTTATCGCTTCCATTATCTACCTTTTTCAGATTCACTTCTATTTTATATATCGAAAGAAAGAAAAAGAGAATGAAGAGAGGGGAGAAAGTCACTCCTATTTTATGAAACGCGATTCGAATTCTTGAGAGATTTATCAGTCTAAGCATCTCAGCATCTTACCTGTTGGTCAATCTCTCAACTGAGACTGTCGCGTATCCCCGTCTTGGTGTCGCATTTCTAAATTTAACCCGTCACAGCTTGCGCAGCTCGTGGAAACAATCTAATGTCATTTATAGCTGACACAGCTGTTTCGCGTTCATGAATCCGTTCGTGAAACAAGTGTCGGGGCATAATATTGTTATCGAAGTGTGGTTTTAACTACCTGATGAGTAAACTCGATAAAAACTTCAAGACTTTGCGCGGTAAATTATTTATAGAGCCCAGAAAGAAATTTCAGATAAGAAGAAACAAAAGTTCCAAACGTTGTGACGATACTGTAGGTAAGACTAAGTGCTGTAAGAGAAGTCTGTGATAATGAAAATTCCTGGAAAAAGAAAAGAATAGAAAAATTTGATAAATAAAGCAACTCGGAGTCTCTCGAGCTTCTTTGCCATTTGAAGGGACTGTACGATATATTCTACAAATGTTGGAGCTTCGTAAGAAGAAAGAAAGAAAGAAAGAAAGAAAGAAAGAAAGAAAGAAAGAAAGAAGGAAGAGAAATCCATTTTCCATGTGTGTCTCGGCCGAACAATCGTGACTCGTTGTATCGTTATCTGAGATTACGGAATAGCCGTGGGCATGGGATGAGAGTAATAACCGATCTTGCCGATCTATACGAGAGATGGGGAGTCAACAACGAGGTATGTGAAAGATTCATTCACGTGTTGGCCTAAATTTAGGTCGCTGTGTCGGCTGCACTGCAGACACGATTCGGTTGGCGATCACTTATTTATAACGAGCAACGAGTGACGAGAAAAATAAGGCAAAATTCCGCGCGCTAGCGCGAGCGCCGAATTGTACTCTACGCTAGTTATTAGAAAACGGTAGAAGCAGAACTTTATTCCATCCAAATACTTTGTCTATAGTACGTTTGCTTCTCCACTCCGCCCTCCGCACAACATCTGGAAAAGAGTGCTTGATACAAGAAGAAATTGTTTAATAATAAGAAATTTTATAATTCTCACTCATGTGTCTTGTGTATCAGTGTAAACGTATACTCTATAGTGCGCAATTCATACATTATTTTACAATATAATTAGTTAAAATAATTAAAACTGTGTGCTCTATAAATTAATTTTCAATTGCTGATTCGTCAATGATGATAGCTCGGGCTATTTTAAGGATAATTTAAAATGCTGATATCCAAAATAATTATATTCGAAAGCAACGCGATTATATGATATATGCGATTATACGTGCCGTGCGTAAATCGTGGCAATTGTTTTTCTAACAATGGAAGAAAATTGTGCGCCGTCTAATCTGCCTCTTCTCATTTTCTTCCATTCTTATTATTTTATACGTTTCTTTATTTATTTACGTATAGTAGGTACATTTTAGCTGTATATTTATCTGTAGTCGAGAGAAACAGACTCGCGCTCGCAGTGGAACTCACGTCGCGCGCAGATTTCGCCTTCGCATTTTCCGCGGCGAGTAGCGAAGAAAAGCGCTGTTATTCGCACCGGCGAAAAACGGCACAGTTGACGCACAGTGCAAAGTTTGCCCGATTTAGCAGAACAAAATACTTCACTTGGTCGCGTGTATAAAATATGTACGGACACACAATATTCGATTACGTGTATTAATTTCCTGGATTTTACATAATTATATCTCACATAGTTTCGCGCGCTTCGCTCTACATATCTATACGGATTTACATTTAATTAAGCTTACGTCAAACAATTCCGACAAAAAGTATTCTGACTCTAAAATTTATCAATTTATTTATCTGGCATCTCGCGTGCGTAACAGCCTTGAAATGCGGCGAGCGATGAAAATTTTGCCCTTTCCTGATCACTGCTGTTACGCAGCAGCGGACGTCACTTTTCCACCACATAGAATTCTAATTTATACAGTGCGACGGAGCTAATGTTTGTGAATTTGCCATATTATGAAAACTTCAAACGGTAAAACTATATTTTCTTTACGTTGCGGGAGATAACTGTAATTTTTAGTTCTTCTGCCCATAACTTTCCCGAGAGTACGTGCGCCTTAAAAATTTAGATATCCGTCGAATGTGCAAATGATTCAGGAATAAATCCTAAAAACGGAGGAAGGAGGAGACACGCGAGAAATAAAGAAAGAGATAAGAAAAGAAATCGTATACAGCCAGTAGTTTAGAGCGTCTTCGTTCTCCTCTAGATCGGACAATGGATTTGCACATTGTGCGGCGGCGACAGACAGACATGCACCGGCCCCACTGAGGTCACTGAACCTAAATCGTAACCTTGTGTTAGTGTAAAGTGGCAGTCGTGTAAAAACATCCGCCTAACATTAAGTAATTTTAGAAGAACTCCTCAATCATCGAGCAATCTCTCGCGGCATTATCCTGCGGCGCTTCTCAACCGATTGATTGTTTGAAATAAACTGATCGCGTACACGGGATGGGAGGGTCGACCCTTTCTGTGAACGACAGGGTCCTGTCCGGGTCCCACGCTTAGGGATCGCTTATACTGTATGCCGGAAAGACATTTAGCGATAGGATTCCTTTCCCTGGTTTTCTTTCTTCTTCTTCTTCTTCTTCTTCCTTCCTGATAATTTCACCTGCCGCGAACAAGACGTTTCGTT